TTTTTTTTTTTTTTTTTTTTTTTTTTTTTTTTGGCCTCTAGCCAGCAATTTCAAAGGAGGTCCTTTTTTGTAAAAAAAAAAAGTTGACAGTTCTTTTTTTACCCCTTCAGTTGTAATGGCAATAGACAATTCAGAAATAAACATAACCATATTATGAGGCAGTTAATGTTGTTGCTGTGAGATATACAAAAATGTATATATACCTGATCTATATATAGGTTTAATTGGCATTTTAATTGTATTTATTTGAAGCAAGTTAGAAACCTGCCAAGTCCTGAATTAAACACAAACAACCAAGTGAATTAGAAGCCTTTTAGCCCCTGAATCAAAACAAACAACCTATAATAATTATGTTGTCAGTTGTTTAGGTGTATTAATTGAGCTTTGGTGACAGCAGTGGACTGAGCAGATCATGTGTCTATAGCATATTGGACATCAGACTGACAGTAGATCTAAATTAAGATTATCAGTTAGATAACTCATCCTCAGAATAGTAAACTGTCAACATACTCCTGACAAAATTTTTCACCCTGAAGTTCATGAAATCAGTGCATGGATCTGAGCCTGTTAATTATATACTTAAACACATGCATAGTTTTAGCCTGGTTCTTGACTTCAGGTGTGAAAACAACCTGACTACAGACTTATTATTCAAACCAAATGACCCCAGCTATAGCTAGGCTTAAACCATGCACACTCTCTGGAGGGCCCACTTGAAATCTTCTAGTAATCTGGATTATAAATTTCCACTCAATATCTCAAACCCTAGCAACAACCAAGAACTAGCTACATACTGAGTAGTGCATTCAATTAGATGTGAAATCGTATTATTAATATTCTTGAGCGTCTGACAGGTCATACACTTCATTCATGATCTACCTGTGGTGTACACATGCCTTGTAGCGTTACACAAAAGGTACTTGTTATCTCTGTGTAAACAAACATATTTGTCGGCCAGTGTTTCAGCAGAGCTCCTGATTTTGTAATAACATATGTGCTACATTGCACGAGAAATCGTGCTCGAGAATTCTGCAGTAAACAATAACTTATAGCTTTTCGTACTGTCGGTAGTACAATGTGCCCAAACGACTACTTTAACTGTTAAAAAAATGAAAAAAAAAAATAAAATACATAATAGAAAAATAAATTGTCGTCCGAATTTTCTGTCTGTGTAGCACTCCTATTCCTATAATTCTGCTAAGTGTGCTGATTTATGTAACAATTTATGTAAACTATATTACAGTGTCACATGCATATACTGTAATTACATGCACATACACCGTATTTTAATTCAATGTACAAATACCCTTTTTTATAACTCACCGTTTTTTGAATGGATTTCGTCCATAATTTCTCTAAAGTCGACGGTAAAATTAACACAAGTCGTGCCTTTGCGAATAAAACCACACGTCCGCTTATCTTTCCGTTCAATTTGATAAATTACCACATTTACTCTTAAGTTCGGTCAAATATGTGAAAACAATCTAATCCATGTGTTTATATGCCTTTAAACTCGGTCAAGGTGAAAGGCATGACGTACGTGCCGATAAACCAATCGATTTGTTTTTCGCAAACACACCCCTTTTTCACACAACTGCCCTCTAGCGGCGTCAACGTCACCAAATTCATCGCTAGGAGTCCCGAGCCAGGGATAAGAAATTTGTTTCCAGTTAGTTTAAAGGACCAACAAAATATATGTAATATTTATATGCTAAAAATAAAACGAAGTTGTTTTCCGAGTATAAGGAAACGGAGTCTTTGTTTCTACAGCTATCACTGCAGAGGACCGACATTTCTGCGGGGCTGATATGGACCTACTTAGGAAAACGGCATGGCATCTGCTAAAAAGAGGTAAGGGATGTTTTTGCCCGTCTTTTTTTGATAAAGAAACTTTAAAACAGGCCGGTTTCACGTTCTTTCCATAGTATGTTCTTGTCATAAAGTCATGGGCTAATTATTATTCGGTTTGGTTTGTAAGGTCAGATCTTTAGCTCGAAATGGACATTGAATTAAACGTAAGTAAATTTCGCTAGTACGGGCCGGCTAGTACTACCAGTAGTACTACTTGCACATGTACTACATGTAGTACTAACAGACTAATTTTGAATGAAGATTTATACTTAATATCACGCTTGCTGTCGGCCAGAATATGATCTCAGTTTTGTCCTATTTAAAAAAGAGATGGACAGATGAAACGAAAAAATAACAATGACAAAATAAACTACTGTACATTTCTCATCCCAGTGAAATAAAAACTTGTAGAAACTCGCCAAGCAAACTTAAATATTCCATGGTAAAATTTACCAAGTTTATTTTCCAGAAAGCTGGCCGAACTGTCTGTGGAAGAGTTCATGCAGCAAAGTTTTGACACAGGGAGTGAGGACACAGACACACCTGGGACAAGCTCTGAACAGGGAACAAACCAACATGAAAGTAAAAAGAAGAAAAAGAAGCAGCTTAAGAAAAATGCTAAGAAAATAGAAAAGTATGGATTTACTCAACAGTTAGTGAATTAACCACTGCTTTATGAACGCATACTTTTTTTTACCAAAATGAGAATGTTAAATCATTGCTTGATTTTTAACTTTGGGGCTACTTTGAAGCTACATAGGGTAATATTAACATTTGAAATACAAAGTACAAGATGATGTTTGATATTATTGGAATGATGTTATATGGGTTATCCCAAAATAATTTTTTTTTTTTTCAAAATAGAAAAAGTACTGTACACTTATTAAAGTTAGTATTACATTTGTTTTGATTACATATATTAAACTGTAAAGAAGCAGTTTCATGTTTATTTGAAACACATATCAATGCAATGAAGTTTTTTGTTTTGTTTTTTTAAGTCAAGTTTCTGTTTTTCCTATGCCAATGCATGCCTTTTTTATTTGAACATCAGTTGACCATACAGCCTTTGCTGCCTAGTTAATTCTAATATAGTAGGGTACTATTCTAAAAATTAATTTATAATTTAGAGGCAGCAAAAAAGTGGATCAGGATCCAAATCCATCATCTAAGAAAACTTCAGAAGCAAGCAAACATAAACAGTCGCTGGGAAAACTGAAGGACAGTGATCCTGAGTTTTATGAGTTTCTGAAGGGAGAGGACAAGGAACTTCTGGACTTTGACTTGTCTGGAGATGAAGATGATGGTACAAGTGATGAAGAGCAGGTGCACAAAGTCCCCAGTAAGCTTGAGGTAATGGAAACATGTCCATGTCCCCATGTTTTAATAACTATGATTGTTTTATTCAATTTGCTCTAAGCATATGTGACTCTCATCGTTTTGCTCATTATAAAAGATGGAGTTTCTTCAAATTAAAAGGGTTTAGACTGGAAATAACATATAAGTTTTAATTGGTTATTTTCCTGGCACCATCAACACACTCTTTAATAAAAATCACCTTCACAAGTTCCTGGCACTTACCTGTTATTAATTTTTTCCTTAATTTGGTTTAAGTGAAGTATACATAGTAAATCATAATGTGAATAACATGAAAAATGTATGCTTACTAAAAGAGCATAGTAATTATCACAACCAAGAATACACAGAATACTATTTTACAAAGATTTTTGTGAGAAACCTAGTACCCAGAAATTTTACTTTTTTTAGAATAAAAAAACTGTTTGTACAGTGCAACTACGTATGTGTCTGCAGGTACCCCTGATGAGCATTATTGGCTATGGATAGGATAAAGATAATTTACACTCTTTTTATTCTTTTCATTTTCCACCAGGTTGCCAGTGATGATAGTGAGGGAGAGTTGTCCATCCCCAGCTCTGATGAAGATGAAAGTGAATCAAAGAAGAAGACAAAGAAGAAAATTTCAAGTCGTACTTTGGTCACTCTGAAGATGGTCAATCACTGGACACAATCATTACAGGTAGTCAAAAAAATATATACTGTTGCAGGGTTAAGAAAAAGTATACGGTTATTACAAATACCAAGCTTTACACTTTGGGACTGAAAAAGTTGTATGGGTCTCATGTAAGGCTCAAAAGGTCTCAATAAGTCCCAGTGAAAAAAAAAAAAACATTTCACAAGACACAGTCAAGATAAACAGGAAGTTTAGTCTTGCAGTGATGAGGTGATCAAACAATATAGACACAGTCCTATATTAGCAAAAAGTTTGGAGGGTGACTCAGTAGTGAGAAAGAACTGTAATATAGTATAAGTAATCTTGCTGTGAACCATTAAGTGAGAATTTACACTTTAGCGTACTATATGTTGTTGTTCCTTCAGGAGGGGTCTTCACTGTCCATCCTCCATGATGTGGTGGCAGCATTCAAGGCTGCTGTGCAGCAAGCGGGTGGTGAGGATGACGCAGAGGTCAATAAGTACAAAGTAGAGGGTAGCACAGGTCAGTATCCTATAGTTACTGTAACACTATCTTACACTGTAAATCTTTGACCTAATAGGATGTCTTACTGCCTAACACTTTTAAAGCAGTCATTATGACTTAATTTATAAGAAAAAAATCCAAATCGAAATCATGCTGGAAAACCTGTTTTGATAAGAGATGGCTATTTGGTGTTGCTTTGTCATATGATCTAAGAAATGCATTNCCTCATGTAAGGCTCAAGAGGTCTCAATAAGTCCCAGTGAAAAAAAAAAAAACATTTCACAAGACACAGTCAAGATAAACAGGAAGTTTAGTCTTGCAGTGATGAGGTGATCAAACAATATAGACACAGTCCTATATTAGCAAAAAGTTTGGAGGGTGACTCAGTAGTGAGAAAGAACTGTAATATAGTATAAGTAATCTTGCTGTGAACCATAAAGTGAGAAGTTACGATGGCACACTTTAGCATACTATATGTTGTTGTTCCTTCAGGAGGGGTCTTCACTGTCCATCCTCCATGATGTGGTGGCAGCATTCAAGGCTGCTGTGCAGCAAGCGGGGGGTGAGGATGACGCAGAGGTCAATAAGTACAAAGTAGAGGGTAGCACAGGTCAGTATCCTATAGTTACTGTAACACTATCTTACACTGTAAATCTTTGACCTAATAGGATGTCTTACTGCCTAACACTTTTAAAGCAGTCATTATGACTTAATTTATAAGAAAAAAATCCAAATCGAAATCATGCTGGAAAACCTGTTTTGATAAGAGATGGCTATTTGGTGTTGCTTTGTCATATGATCTAAGAAATGCATTTAGTTACACCATTTTGAGAAAATAGATGAGATGAATTCGAATTGGAGCAGTCAAAGTCAGTTTTGTTAATGATTTGCCATGAGATGAACTTGTCAATATGTTTTTGTGGACTCTTGTATTAAATCAAATTGCATAGAGTGAATATCAGTAGTAAGTCAGTTGAGCTTGATTTAGTTAGAAAGCTCTCTTTATACTTTGTTGAACAAACTGTCATTTTATAGTCCAATACTTGTGTGAATGTACATGTTTACTTTAAGTTTTCATATTTTGTCTGTATTCCAGTTTTCAATGCCATTGTACGCCTGTGTTTAACTGAACTGCTACCAGCCTGGCGACATGTTCTAGCACTGCCAGAAACTAAAGAAAACAAGAAGCCACCTCTTCCTTCTACTAGTAAACAGTGGGCCAAGGTGCGACTGGATGTGAAGTTGTACCTCACAGAATTGATCAGGGTATTTTTTTGCTTTTATTTTTCATATTGCATTACAATACTTGATGTGAAAATACTAGTATATATTTACATGGCAAATTCATGAGATTATATCTTTTCTCTGAAAAAATGTTTTGTTGTTAGTTTTCTCACAGTACTTGAATATTATTTGTATTAGGCACCTGAACTAATTGTCAGATTGTAGTACAGATTATGGCAGTTTCAAATTTTGAACAAAATTCTATCATATTTCCTTGTACAATTTGGCAGGTTGTGAAAAAATATTATTACGCTCTCTGTCATTTGTTTTGTTGCATTTTTTCTTCCAAAGGATATCAGTTTTTCCGATGTTGTTAATAAAGAAAATTTTAAAATATTCACAATTTTGAAACCTTTTTCTTTTCCAGTTACTGAGTGAAGTGGGGGAATCTACCATTGTAAATATACTGCTGAAACATGTCCACCAGTTGGTGCCTTTTATTGCTTGCTTTCCAAAAGTGGCTCGTATTGTTGTCAAGGTGAGGGTCATAAGATGTCAAGGTCACCAGGTGTCAAGGTCACTAGATAGTCAGCAGGGGCTCATTTCAAAGGAAACCTGAGTTTAAATTTATTCACACACACAATATAAAAAACTAAAAACTGTGGTCTGTTTTATTCTAGGTCAGTTAGTAGAAGTTTACATTAAAAGTAGGGACTGTCTACCTGAAACAGTAGCCGATGCTCTTGTGAGACAGTTCTAATACCCTGAAGACCACTAGTTTGTTTCTCATGTCTTTAAATAATTCATCTGGTCATCTCAAATAGGGTAGATTTCAAGATTTTTTGAGACATTTTATTGTCAGTAGTAGGTTGCATAGGTTGATTATTTCTCCTTTTACTACCCTATATTGCACAATCATATTAAACTTAAGGATGTAGATAACAGGGGTAGCTATCTTCTAAACCGGCCAAGATATACCAACATGTTACATATCAATAGAAAGCTTATTTCAACAGCTCTTCATTTCATATCCTTATTTTATTATGTAATCGTTATAGGTGTGCTCAACATGATCTTTACACCTTAAAAACTAGAAGTCCACTACAAATGGACATGTGTAGACAGCTTGACTCCTGAGCCCTCATNTCTCATGTAAGGCTCAAAAGGTCTCAATAAGTCCCAGTGAAAAAAAAAAAAAAACATTTCACAAGACACAGTCAAGATAAACAGGAAGTTTAGTCTTGCAGTGTTGAGGTGATCAAACAATATAGACACAGTCCTATATTAGCAAAAAGTTTGGAGGGTGACTCAGTAGTGAGAAAGAACTGTAATATAGTATAAGTAATCTTGCTGTGAACCATTAAGTGAGAATTTACACTTTAGCGTACTATATGTTGTTGTTCCTTCAGGAGGGGTCTTCACTGTCCATCCTCCATGATGTGGTGGCAGCATTCAAGGCTGCTGTGCAGCAAGCGGGTGGTGAGGATGACGCAGAGGTCAATAAGTACAAAGTAGAGGGTAGCACAGGTCAGTATCCTATAGTTACTGTAACACTATCTTACACTGTAAATCTTTGACCTAATAGGATGTCTTACTGCCTAACACTTTTAAAGCAGTCATTATGACTTAATTTATAAGAAAAAAATCCAAATCAAAATCATGCTGGAAAACCTGTTTTGATAAGAGATGGCTATTTGGTGTTGCTTTGTCATATGATCTAAGAAATGCATTTAGTTACACCATTTTGAGAAAATAGATGAGATGAATTCGAATTGGAGCAGTCAAAGTCAGTTTTGTTAATGATTTGCCATGAGATGAACTTGTCAATGTGTTTTTATGGACTCTTGTATTAAATCAAATTGCATAGAGTGAATATCAGTAGTAAGTCAGTTGAGCTTGATTTAGTTAGAAAGCTCTCTTTATACTTTGTTGAACAAACTGTCATTTTATGGTCCAATACTTGTTCGAATGTACATGTTTACTTTAAGTTTTCATATTTTGTCTGTATTCCAGTTTTCAATGCCATTGTACGCCTGTGTTTAACTGAACTGCTACCAGCCTGGCGACATGTTCTAGCACTGCCGGAAACCAAAGAAAACAAGAAGCCACCTCTTCCTTCTACTAGTAAACAGTGGACCAAGGTGCGACTGGATGTAAAGTTGTACCTCACAGAATTGATTAAGGTATTTTTCACTTTTATTATAATTCATATTGGGAATGAATAAAAGGGAAGACCAAACAATTTATCACTTTTTGTATCAGTTTCAATGTCTTTATTTAAAACACCATAATGACATTGCATTACAGTAATTTTGTGAAAATATATTTGCATGGTAAATTCATAAGTTCATATCTTTTCTCTGAAAAAAAAAATGTTTTGTTGTTTGTTTCTTGATAGTACTTGAATATTATTTGTATTAGGCATCTGAATTAATTATCAGATTGTAGTACAGATTATGGCAGTTTCACAATTTGATCAGAATTCATTATCACATTTCCATTTACAACTTGGCAGGTTGTGAAAAAAATCATTATTTTCCTCTCTGTCATTTACTTAATTTGATGTATTTTTTTTCTTCCAAAAGTTATCAGCATTCCTCATACTATTAAAAAAGAAATCCAATAAAATATTCACAATAATTGTACACCCATTTTTCCGTTCCAGTTACTAAGTGAAGTGGGGGAATCTACCATTGTAAATATATTGCTGAAACATGTCCACCAGTTGGTGCCTTATATTGCCTGCTTTCCCAAAGTGGCTCGCGTTGTTGTCAAGGTGAGGGTCACTAGATGTCAAGGTCACTTAGTGTCAAGGTCGCTAGGTAGTCAGCAGGGGCTCATTTCAAAATGTAAAACTAAAAACTGTGGTCTGTTCTATTCTAGGTCAGTTTGTAGAAGTTAACATAAAAAGGAGTAACTGACTACCTGAAACAGTAGCCATGTATTACTCTTGTGAGACAGTTCTAACACCATGAAGACCAGTAGTTTGTTCCTTACATGTCTTCAAACAACTCATCTGGTTATTAAAAAAAGATTTTTAAGGCACTTTATTGTCACTAGTAGGTTGGTAATTTCTCCTTTTACTAATTCCTAAACCTGAAGTATATTGCACAATGGTTGTTTTCATAGGAGTTATACTATATTTCAGAAACTGATTTCACTGTGGAGTTCTACAAGTGAGGAGACTTGCAGGGTGCTGTCGTTTCTGTCTATTAACAAACTGGTGAGGTTGATGCAGAATGCACTGCTGGAACCCACACTCAAGGTAGGCGAGATAGGGAAGGAATTCAGGCCTTGTGATATTTCATTTTAGTTTTTTAAACTTCACTTGTTTGGATTGCTATCTGGTCACATTCTTTGCTGTTCCTGGTGAAATTTGGTTAAAAATGGTACCTCTAAAGTAAAAAAATAGGTTTCAGGGAAGCTTGATGATAAATGAAATAGATGTATTCTGCCATGCTGTGTACAGTGGAAGAAATGACCAAAAATTTCATTTCACACAATATCTCCATTCTGTATATATTTGAATCCCTTTTTTGCAAATTCTAAAGAGACACCTCACCAAGGCAGAATTCAAATGTACCAGAATTTGAATCTCTCTTGACAAATTCAAATATACACTTCATATACTTGTTATTGCAGCAAATGTACATGGCGTATGTCCAGAACTGTAAGTTCACGTCACCCTCCACGCTGCCGATGATCAACTTCATGCAACGCTCCCTGGTGGAGATGTTTGCCATTGACGTCAGGCTGACCTATCAGTATGCCTTCATCTATATCCGCCAGCTGGCTATTCATCTGAGAAATGCCATCACAGTAAAGAAAAAGGTTAGTCACTGCAAAGAAATCAAGGAGGATTATAGAAATGAATTCAATACTAGATGTTTAACCAGTTTGAATATTATCAGATGAGGTTTACATTTATAATTATAATCATTACAATCGTTTTATGTTTATCTCCAGACTCATATTTAGAACTATTTAAATCACTGTTTAAAAAGTGGCACATCATTTTAAGTCAGTGTGTTAGGAATTGAAAGTTCTAATAGATTGGGAAAGAATTCCCAAAACTAGCATTGGTGGGAAACTTTTCATGGTTTGATATCCCAGGCTTCTTTTTTTTCTTAATTGAATGTATTATACATGATTTCTCATATTAAATTCATTAGACTAGTCTGAGCTATTTATTTCAGAATTTCTACACACAGTGAGAGGTTTAAGAACTTTTGACCTGGCCTTTGTCAATCTGATGTTATTTACTAGCAGTTGAGAATGTATTGTGTATATTTGTAGGATACATGCCAAGCAGTGTATAACTGGCAGTATGTTCACTGTCTCTACCTCTGGGCAAGGTTACTGAGTACAGTCTATCCCAGTGACACCTTGGAACCTCTGATATATCCACTCACCCAGACCATTATTGGAACCATAAAGTAAGTGATGTAATTTATAATGAAAATAATGTTTTAGTGTACATTCTTTGCATATATACAACAAAAATGGATTTCATCAATCTTTTTGTCTTTCACAAAAAAGGGTGTGATAATCTAATCCTCTCTTTTACATATTTATAAAGTGTTAAAATCCTTCTCTCATCCCAGATTGATACCTACAGCCAAGTACTATCCACTGCGTTTCCACTGTATCAAAACCTTGAACATGCTGAGCAAGGCGACCAATACTTTTATACCAGTGCTGCCATTTATACTAGAGGTGAAACTGTAGTTTCTATATTACTTTGGTTCTTTATCTTACTGTAAGACTTTGTGTAACGTGTCAAGAGTATCCTAATGTAAGCAAACTTCTGCTGATTTATCTTAGATCATAGTTCAAGTAAACTTCTTTTAGGCATTTACTTTTAGTTTGTCCATAGTTGCTTTATTTTCACCTGTGACACTTGGGCTAAATATGTTTTAGATTTAATTTTCTGGTTTGAATTAAGGCTTTTTATGTCCCAACAGTGCAAGCAATTATTCAGCCACTGTTGTGTGGTAAATAAAGCCATTAAAAGTGGTGTCCTAATGCAGAAGTGCAGTTCATTGATAAATTTGACACATTTCACATCATTTCAGGTGTTGGAGCAGACAGACTTTAACAAGAAGCACTCCAAGGCCAGTTTCAGGCCCTTGAACTTTACGTGTATTCTGAAAGTATCCAAAGCTCAGCTGCAGGAAAAGGCATTTAAGGTAGACAGTTCAGCAGTTATAACTTTTCGTTTTTAGTTACTCAAGTGCATTTTCTTCTTGAAATCAGTTTCCCCACAGAATCCTTCTCTGTTGACTTTTGTAATAAATTGAATAAATTTATATTATTCACCTAATAACAGATTTGAAGCATAACTATCTATTTTTTAATTGAAAATTATAAAAAAAGTTATATTTTAAATTTGAGGATTTTTTTTTATTGAATGACCTATGAAACAAATATTATTATCATTATTATTATTATTATTATTAAGGACGGGTTGATAGACCAGGTGTATGAGCTGTTGCTGGAGACATTCTATATCCATGCACATACTATTGGTTTTCCTGAGTTGGTTTTACCAGCTGTTATGCAGGTAAATATGGCTGACTGCAGACAAATGCCCTCTTATGGCAGAAGGGCCTTCTCTAGGGAACATGTCATTTAACTTCTTTTAGAAATTAGTAAACCGATTTTAAAGCAACTCCTTGTAAATGTTTCTTCGATAATGTTAACCTCTTTGACAGCTAGAAGAATCTTTTTAAAAATGCAAACTTAAAAACTACTGCTATGTTGCTTTCTATTTTACAGTTAAAGGAGTCATTAAAGAAGTGCAAAGTTGCTAATTACTGTCGTCAGCTGAAGCAGGTTTTGGAAAAAGTGAATGAGACAAGCAAAGTGATTGGTCAGAGGAGGAAAGAGGCAACCTTTGACCTCAAAGACCCTAAATCTGTGGTAAGCTTTAACTCATTTTTTGTTTCAAATGGTCATTTTGTTAAAAGAAAGAACTGTGAAAAATGAAGAAAAGTGTGAAAAAAGGGTAAAAAAAAGAAATTGCAATTACCTCCAACCAATTTTATCAATCTAAGCGATTGTAAAGACAGAAATTTTAAGTTTTAGGTGACAAACTGGTCACTGTAAGGGATCCATTTTTTGATGACATCTCTTGAGACACCTTATATTTGAAGAAATTATTTTTTTTAGGATGCTTGGGACAGGAAAAGCAAGGAAGAAGGCACTCCACTTGGGAAATTCTACGCTCAGTGGCGAAAACTGAGGGACACAGAGCTGCAGCATGAGATAGCTGGAAAAGAAAGAGTGAGCACTGATTTTCCCTGTCCCTCTGTACTTCTTGGAATTAGATATGACTGATTTTTAAAAATATCTTTTAATTCTAAATATGCTGAAAGCTTGTTGCTCAGTTAAAGTGCTTTTGCCTTTCTTTCAATGCCATTGCAGGGCCATAACCAGATCAGATATCTCAAACAAATTATTCAAGACTTAAATTTTGTGGCTTGCTTTTATTTTTCCCCGGTAATATATTCAGGTTATACAGATTATACTTTAATATATGCTAACACCTAAGTATGTAAAAGGGTGGAATAAAAGTTAAGATTTATATTATACAAAATACATTTTTTGCACAAAGGATTGTAGTTTTATTGGAGACAAATTCTGTCATTCATTTCTATGGTAACAGTATATTACCATCTATAAAAATTGGTTACATTCAGCGAATGAGGGCAAGGGGATAATAAGGGGTATTAACAGTAAGCAATTTTACAAGGAGTTAATATTTTGTAACACACAGTTTCCAGTTTTCATATAATTGCTTTCAGATATCTACAGACAAGTTGCCAGAGGTGGTTCGACAAAGAGGACCTCAGAAGGCAACAGCAGATGAAAGAAAGGAGTTTTCTGCATTGTTTGATTCCGAGAGTGAGGAGTCCATGGATGATGAGACAAGGTACTTGATTGGGTAAAAGTAGGATGGTAGACATTGGTTGTTTAATACTCAGTGATGAATTTCTTCTGTAATGTCAGTCTGAGAAGAATTTCATCAGCTGTGTAATGTTACAAGAGTAAAGTTATTATCTTCATTTGACAGCTAATATTGAAATGCTTTACCTCCAATATTTCAGTGTCTGTCCAGAGCTTCTTCATCTGGGAATGATACTATCCAGGTGAATAGCCTTTATTCAGGAGATATACTTGCCCCCCCCCCCCACCACCCCCCACCCACCCACCCACCCACCTAATGTCTTAAGAAAAACAAGTATAGGTCTGTTATGTCCTTTTGAAATGCCATTAACAAATGTTGGTGGTACGTACCCTGTGAAGGTGGTCCATGCCTCTCTGAATTGCTCATCACTCGTGTTAAGAGAAAGTGCCCTTAGTTGTCATTATGAGCTCTAAAGAATAAAAAAAATCTTTTTCAGATTTCAGCCAAAGAGTGAACGTCAAAAGAAGAAAAAGAAAAAAGAGACTAAAGAAGAGTCTGATTCTGAAGAAGACTATAGGTATGTTTTCCTGGTTGTTTGATTTCTTAGCCAAAATATTCAAATACTTAGTTTTATGCAAATATTGTAAATACTTCAACACAATAACAAATATCTAAGGAAATTTTCTGAACTTTCTTTACACACATTTATTGAATTGGAATCGGTTAAATATTTTTCTCCGACTTATCCAAATGCAGGCCATCGTATTACCATACTGTGGTATCAATTATTTGAGACAGTATGATCTTTCATCAAGTTTTATACATTGTGACAATCAACTTTTGTCATAAAACTGTTATAGATATGAAAATGCGATCTGGTATATTTCATATTTGAGCTATGTAATTATCATGACAAGTTGGCACAGTGGGAGTGAGTTTAAGTACAGCTATATATATATATATATATATATATATATATATATATATATATATGATTCAAAGAATATTTCACTGAAATGATTTCTTTATTTCAGTGATTTTGACTCTGATGAGTTGGAGCAGCTGGCTGGTGATGGCAGTGAGGAGGACCCTGAGGAGGAGGAGGAGGAGGAGTCGGGAGATAATGAGGAGGGAGATGAGGAGATGGAGTCTGAGAACAGTGAGGAGGAGGAGGAGGAGGAGCAGGATGCAGCTGATGTTGTGGAAGACTTTGAACTGTCAGATGATTCCAGTGACTGATGTTTGTTATAAAACAGCTAAAAGAGAATGAGAAGACATTCATAGCCAATAGAGAACCAGTTTCTGGGAGAATCATGAGCCTGTTAAAATATTCTTCCCCTATAAGTCAAGGTGACAAAGATAGAAGAGCACACCATTGCCTGATAGATGTACAATAAAATTGCAAGTCTGAAAATGGCTTCAGCAAATAATTTTCAGCCAATTCGAAAAACATTTCTGCAACATTCGGCTGTGCATTAAGTTGAACATACAAGTATTGCTGAAAACTGCATAACACATTTGTGTTTTAGAAGCTTTTATAGATATTTACTTTATTTATTCCAATATGTATACTTCAGACTCCATTATTGTACTAAAAGCATTCTGCTGTAATGAGGATAATAAACCACTACAAAAATAAATTATTTTTTCATCATGTAAAAAATGCAGCATTACCTAGGATACGAAGTAAAAGTTGTAATTTGTTACTTTTAAAAAGTTAACGACATCATAAATAATTGCCAATTTAATATGACGGTAGTAGAATGACCCTCTTAAAAAAAAAGATGACAGTTGACTGATAAAAGCCTACTACACTGTAGCCAAGAAATTTTTTAAAATGATCATTTGGTCATGTTACTTGTGCTTTTTATTATTTCTAACTTTTTAGTATTTCCCATGAAATAAACGCTTCATCGACCATTAGGGCCGTATAATCGACACTTTTAGATACTTTATTTTTTAGCCTAGCAACTTTTATTTGTTTTAGCCTAATCCCTTTCGTTATTATTATTTTTAATAAGCCTACTTAAGCACCGCTTGTCCCCAAATTTAATTTTTTTTTAATTCACATCGAAGGCGTTTCTCGTATATGGAGATCTAACCAAAGTACAAGTCGGCATAGAATAATGCGTTACTCAAAAACAATTGCGCTTTGGTGTTACATTAGATATTCTACACTTTCAGTTCTATTCAATCTTGTGAACACACACCAAAAAAGAAAAAAACGCTTTTTTCTATTTAGGGCGCATGCATTTTGCACGTGATAGATATATCCTTAAAAGGCAAAACGTATTGTGACGTCACTGGCCCGTGCCGACGTAACCAGGCAGCACAAAAGCTATTGGAGATATGCTGAGCGCCAGCGAAGTGAATACGGAGATTTTCTTTTGAGTAAAAAAGACGATATAAACAATGATAGTTGCGTCTCATTTGGCCTTTTTAGGCATGAAATACAGTTACATGTACTTTTTTCACAGAGAAATATTCAGACTCGAAAACGAGGTAAGATATTGCTTTTTTTTTGCAGAACAAAAATCGAATACCCAGCTGTTTGTTTCAGTATATATGTATGTTACCCCAGGTAAAGCTATTTATTACTTAGATTCTTATTAATCAAAATAAGATTCTGTGTGGCGTCTTTTTAATAAGTATCAGAGGTAATCGGACAATTTCATTTAAGTATCCATATAACTTATTCTGATAATTTCACTCGCCAAGAAGATTAAATCAAGGAAATTCCTGGTAACTGGGCACGCAGTTTCAGTAAATTCATATCGATGATATGCTCAAATAAAAACAAATTAAAATCTACGTTTGCACCTTTTAATCCAATCTCCTTTTATTCAATGTTTAAGGTTCGGGCTCTTTTCTGGAAGGAAGACACTATGCTTCCTATTTTGGGAGGTGGAGGATTCGGTTCGGTGTACAAGGTAATGAACTTATCATGATAAACGAACAAAAGTGATACTGGGATAACGGGAATAGCTATAGCAGTATCAATGGTACAAACAGTCATGGCAGTAATTATAGATTTTGAAGCATAAGCAGCAGAACACAATTTATGTTTACAGTGATTAATCATTTAGTAATTTTACCTGTTTTTCTATTATTAATATGCTTATTTACGGATGTGCCATTCCACTAACTGCTCGAAATATTTTATGTTTAGTTTAAAAACAACCTAGCATTAAAGGTACCAGCCTCTGCGGCCTATGCAAGGTCCATCTACAGTGAAGTTTCTTTTATGAAGAGGATAGACAGCAAATTTATCTTAAGGTGTTTGATACAAACGATTTATATTCTAATTTGTAAAATTAAATGCCTATGAAACAGATGACTTTTACAAAATACGCCATGTAACAATCGCTTCACCTCGTAAAATAATATTCTTAATATGCTCACAATTGTTCACAGGTTTCTGATATTATATCACAATATTGTTACGTTAAAAGAGTTGAAGAACGCTTTAGACGGACAATCTACATAAACAATCTACAATCTACAGTAACTGTAAAATCTCAATTTTTTATAACACAATAAAGAATTAATCATTCAATCTTCTCTCTATCTCTCAGTGTGTCTCAATCTGATATGAATTTCCGTTCCAGACTAGTTCATTCATTTGAAGTCAGGCCTGGTTTCCCTATCTTACTTACGGAATTATGTCCCATGGACCTGGAAATACTTCAAGAGTATTGGGAAACATTTTTGTAAGTAATTCTGTTACTTTCTTTTCTTTAAAAAACACTTTTTTTTGTATTTTTATATAGCTTGATTTTTTAATGTAATTTTATATAGCTTAATTCTTAACTTATTCATTTTACGTTTTTCAACAAAACATTTTTCATTAAATGTTTACAAGAATAGTATACTGATAGTTCCTTTAATTTATTTCTTAGGGACGCAGTTCCTCTTCAGATGGTGAAATATATTGCCACTTGCGTCTGTATGGCTATTGGGCACTTGCACCAACTGAACTTAGCCCACTTTGATATAAAAACGAACAACGTGTTGATTAGTATACACGGGGTCCCTAAACTGGTAAGATGTTCTCTTTGTTGTGTGTCACTTTGTACTGTGTAATAAAATAATGAGGTTATTTTTCTCTTCTTGCTATAAATTTCCTAGGTCGGGCCAGATTTCGAATTCCAACTCGCTCTTTTCTATAACTTGATTTAACGTACCTATCTGTAAATGTGTCACCAATGTGCAATAATCTAAACCTCTCCCATTTTAGACATTGCTCAGGTAATGTCTGGTTTTATTATACTGACCAATTCTAATGAAGTAGATTCTCGCTGGTTTCTTATGACCAAATGTCAACGACTCTTTAGCCTAAATGCAGATGAAAAATAGGGATATATTTTCCGTAAGCGCTTACTAAATTTAACCTATCATGCATGCTTGTGATACTTTATACACTTAACAGACTGCATATATTTAACTTTTTGTCATAATAGGAAGTGCTGGAGGAAGAACAGCTTGAGATGGGTCCTTTGACAGCAAACTCCAGCGTCCGCAATATTGTCGGCGATGGCTAGGAGGCTACCGTCACCACCGGCTTCTTCGATGCCTCCCGCTAGTTTCACGATTTATCTGGAAGTAGCCGACTTTGCGACAGGAACTTATCCACTTCATTATAAATATAGACGACTTTATAACATAAGCCTTCAAAAGCCCAGGGCGATTAATAAAACGTCTCCAAATATCAATTAAAATTAAAAAAAAAAAAAACTCAAGAGACTATGATGACTTTCATTCAAGTTTTCCATTTTTCTGTAAAATATACAACGTATAATACAGTTTCAATTTGTAATTTACAATCAAAAAAAAAAAAAAAAAAAAAAAAAAAAAAAAAAAAAAAAAAAAAAAAAAAAACCAAAAAAATATAATAATTTTTTTTAAATTTTTCCTTTTTTTTTAAAAAAAAAAAAAAAAAAAAAAAATTTAAAATTTAAATTTAAAAAAAAAAAAAAAAAAAAAAAAAAAAAAAAAAAAAAAAAAAAAAAAAAAAAAACTTCAGAGGCGTAAGGGAATATATATCTTGTTTTATTTGTATGTGCACAGGCTGTTTCACAAAATCACAATAGTGTTGATAATTGCTTGATAGAAAAGTCGAATAAATATTTGAAAAAAATTTTGTTGGCCTATTTCTTTTTCAGTAATTCCACAGGATAATAAAAACGTGTCCCACCAAAACATGTAGGTAGACCCTATATATATATATAATGAAAATAATAAAGTTATTATATGACTCCAGGTTATGGAACAAAAGACATTCGGGATGTAAACAATCGCTGTTACCAAGTTTGAAGAACTAGTTTACAGCTTCACTTGGTCGAGTCAAGGATGCGTTTATATG